GCTGCAAATGGCCACCTATCCTGGACCTTAAATCATCATCTTGATGACGAAATAATTAGACGATCAACTCCAACTCGAAAGTGAGGTCGCCTCCTTTCTCGACCCGCACTCCGCTGGGTTTTGGCAAAGGAGCATCAAGAAATTTTCTGAGCGTTGAAGACAAGTGGTGGACACTCATGGTAGATATAGACCGGTCAGGAGTTGTAAACAAAAAAGATAAAATTAAAATCAAAAATTTGAAAAAGTGTTGCAGGACTTTCTTTCCAACCTAATAATTGATATCAGGCTCGTCTCTCATTATGAAAGCGATGGTGTGTCTGCTCATTGCGCAAAGCCTTACAATTGCCCAAGATGCATTCTAACCTTAGCAAGACAGTATTCAAATGCGCGGCACGTACCAGATCACCATTATGGGACAAGGCGAGAATGCGGATAATCTAATCTTCTATGCTTCTACTGTGTTCACTGGTGTGGAGAAGGATGATGTATTGGGCATGATAAATCCTTTTATGACTCGCGCCATTCACTCTACTTCTTTTCGTGGGTGTAGTGCAAGTTGCATGCGACTTCGTTTGATCTATACAGAAAGTTGCGAGGACCAGCTGATTTGGAAGTCAACGCTTTTATCTTTCCAAACCTAATACGGATTTATCGCTACTGAAAAGGATGGCTTGATGGCCTGGGTGAGACTCGCCCCGAGCTCTGACCGTGAAACGTGCACATGGTAACCTGAGCCCGCTGCGTCAGCACCCTCATACGTATTTCGTTATGCACTTTTTCAAAAGTTCTCAGTTCAAATCCCTGGCAATAGTGGGGATTCCCTGACACGCTGAAAACGGTCTCTTTGACGTGCTGCGTCTCCTTTTTTTGTCCTTTTTCACATAGTAACAAATTGATTTTTCAGGAAGGATTTCATATGTATTCACCCGAGTGGAGCAGTGCACACATTCATTCAAACTGTATCCGGCATGAAGATGAAGTCGAATAATATACGCTTCCGACCACAATCGCTAGAAAAACTCTGTCAACAAGAACTCATCCGAGATATTTCAAAAACTACCCCCACCCTCCTTGAGCTCTGTAAATTTGCTTTTTCCACAAAAATAGCCAGTTACTGTTAAACCTAACAACATAGTTGGCCTTATATGTTTCTAGTAAGTAGTTGTGTTTGAATTGATTCTCTACCGGAACCAATAATCTTGTGATTCTATTAAAGGACATCGAGTAGATTGATGTCGCCAAAATTACTACTGTGATAGTACTTGTCATAAACAGTTCCTTTGATGTTTTGAAAGCACTTTACTTGCGATTGGAACGCTGAACATGATTCATTTTTGCGAGGATAACTAATGCTAAAAGAAAAACTACGAAAGAGAAGGAAACGGTGGGTAAAAAGGATATCACCCATTGAAAATAATAGCATAGTGGTGAGGAGAGGAAAATTTGGAGTCAAGAGAAAATCACCCTTCAAAAAACTTCCAGGACAATATCTATTCTATTAGGTTGTCGGAAAAGTAAGTTCGACTGCTCCAACTTTACGAGTTCAGAAGAAACGCCAGTGCACGTCACGCGACAAGAAGCATATGTGATGCGATGGGTCGACTGTCTCTTACAGTACGGCAAAGAGATGGTTCCATAAGTTCGAAAATGGCGACTTCGACTTGAGCGAAAAACCACGATCAGGCAGGCCGGTTAGATAGTGCGATTGAATGACCGTCTTCCTGCGAAACTGCATTAGAAGATTTTAACCGCAATGGCGTCCGGTTTACCGAGAGCTGGCAGAAGGTTTCCAGATGCATCATGATACAGTGGCTGCTCATTTGCATCTGCTAGGAAAAAGTTGGAAATACGGCATGTGGATACCTCATGAGCTGAGTGGCTACCAACTCCAGATGAGGAGAGATGCATGCCTAAAATTTTTGACGTTCCGGAGAACTTTCGCATGGCTCGAGGACCTGATCACCGGCACGAAAGTGGGTTCTCTACATGGACTACACGCGGAAGCGTCAGTGGCTTGGACGCGGGTGAATGTTGAGATTCCGACCCCAAGACCAGGATCTCATCCCCAAAAGGCAATGCTCAGTGCCTTGGTGGAAAAGCAAAGGATGGTTACTGGGGGTTGCTACCACCGAACACTACTGTCACCGCCGAAAGTCTCTGTGCCCAATTGGATCGTGTCGCTGCAGCCCTACGTGAGAAACAGAGGAAAGTCTACTTTTTGCACGACAACGCTCGCCCACATATTGCAAAGGAGACCCAGAAAAAGCTTCAGACCTTAGGCTGGCACGTTCTGGCCCACCCACCGTACTCACCAGATCTAGCGCCAACAGACTACCACCTATTCCTGTCACTGTCGAATCATCTGAAAGATAGGAAGTTTGACAATCTGGGTCACCTCGAGAGGTGCATTAGAGAGTTCTTCGCCTCAAAACCGCGGAGTTCTATGCAAGCGGCATCCATAAGTTGCCTGAGAAATGGCAATATGTTGTCGATAATGATGGTGCATATATTGGTTAATTGTTGGTTGTTGTAAAGAAAATAAATGAATTTGAAAAAAATGCAAAGTGGCTCAAGACTTTTCCGACAACCTAATAAAATTCCTAGGAGCAGTTGATTTTCCACACAAATGTAGAAATATGCCCATTTCCAGTAATGCAATATTTCTCCAAGTTTCTTGATCACCACGAGCCAAAACAACAGCTTTTCCATTTCAGGTCCATTTCAGATAGTTTTAAAATACATTGGGCTCTACTCCAACCTAAACATTTGTAAGACTAGTGATGACAGCCAATGAATGGCAGCATAAGTATTCATTGTTGATCCTCGCTGTCACGACCTCGCCTCCTTTCACGAGAGCAAGTATGACTCCTATCGAGGATTATCTCCACAATTGTGCACCCTGCCTTGGAGCTCAACAGGAGGAAAAATACAGAAAAGTGCCGCTTTCCTCCAGCATCGATGTGGCTCAAAAAATCAGCAACCGGCTCCACCGGGTGATTTATCTAGAATTCCTTACCTTTGAAATTAATACTTCAATTTTTCTTGTCGCAGTAATATAAAAAGAAGTCCACGCTCAGCAACTGATGTTACAAGGCAAGGATTACATCACACGTACTTTCCAAAGCATATTAGCTGCTGATTGGCTGATGTTGAACTTTTTGAACGTTCGAACCACTAGCATCGGTTTAAGTGACTTGCGCGATTCTCGCCATTATTGAGTTTCTGTAATCGCCAGAATCGCTGGAATTCTTGAATTCCCTGTGCTCTGCTACGAATATCACTTAGTCGAGTCCTATCCTTCAACCCTGACCCTATCCTCCTCTAACCATAACATAACATAACCCTACCCTGACCCAGGGTGAAGTTAGGTTTGGGCCAAAGTCGGGCAAGGTTAAGGTAAGGGAAGGGCTAGGTCGGGTCAGGAGGAAGTTTAGGGTCAGGGTTGGGGATGGGTATTTGAACAGCCAACTTGTGTTCCATCGTAGGGCATTGCTGTGCGAATTCGCGACTCCGGCAATCTGAGGTCTTTCACAGTCACAAGAATTGCGCAATCTTGAAATCGCTCTTGGAAAAAGGACAGACTAAGAACTTGACTTGACCCCTACTCATCGCAGCTCCTGCGCCTGCACTACAACGGTCTACGTAGCGAAGTGCAGCGACCTCTCGTATAGCGTACTTCGGTTGTTCTCTCCCTAGTCTCCCATCGCACAAGTCGACCTTACAGAAAGGAGCGCTCCGGTTACGATGTCTTAAATAACTTCATTTAATTCTCTACGCAGATGGTCCCCCTTGTTCCCATGGAAAAGCTCGCCGGCGTCGCGGACGCGCCCGCGTGTTGGTGACGTCACAACGGCGGCGAGGGAGCGTGGGCCAGCTTTGCCACCATTACTTCAATACATTAAGTACTCCGAGCATCTGTCGTGCTCTTACTTCACTGTGTGATAAGTAGAAGTAAGTAGGAATCGAACACGAAGAACACTCAGTTTATTCAAGTTATTGACAGTGTACTCCTAAGGGTTTCCACATAAAAGCCTCAAATTCCTCTACATTTTCAAAAAATTTCAATTTCTAAGGGCAAGGATGGTACCTGAACATAACACAATCATTTCGCTCGCGGGACAAATGATTGAACAATTGGTATAGTGTCAGGAATTCCTTC